AATTTCATTTGGGGCAACCCCTGTCTTGAGGCAGACCCGTATACAAAGGCAAGTGACCGCTCGCCCTTTGACCGACTGCAGACCGAGGCCAGTGGCTGGACTGACGGCTTTGACCCACGCATGCCTGGCGGCAGCGACGCCGAGTCCGTGAACACCAAGGCCCCTAGTTTGGGGGCGCCAAGCAGAGGCTGTGAAATTAGGGACCCCAAAAAGATTGGTTTCCCTTTGGTTTCCTCGTTGAAAACAACCAACAAAAAGGGGGGGCCCGCAAAAGAGGCACGCCCGATGGTTGAATCCGCCCAAGCCTCTTCAGGCGACCCTGGCCACGCGTGCCTCGGTGCTCGCCAGGAGGCATCGAAGCCGAGCGACGGAAGCGGGAGCTAGCGGGACGTTTGTCGGGAATGAATGCTCTCTGCGGACCGCTCCAAGACGATTTCATGTTTTTCCGCATTCACTAAATGTGATCAGAATCCGAACATCTTATGTTTGGAGTACCCCAAATGTGGGCCAAGCACTGGTTCAAAAGGGGAACCGCCACGTTGAAAAGGGATTGTACAGAATTTTGCAGGGGGTTCCTTGTCCCAACATGGTTGAGCTTGGCTGCAGAAAACGGAAAGCAAGTATGCTCATAAAGCTGGAAAAAGGGGCTTGTTTGGCACTACCCCCTACGCCAATACCAACTCTTTTAGGATATGATAGCGTATGAGAGTAGGGGGTAGGAGGCCTCTGCACGGGGGGGGGGGGCCTTGAAGGTAACCTTGCCAAAGGGTTTTGCGTGCTGAATTCGGGTTCCAGAGCGGCCCGTTTGCTAGAAGGTTTGGTGGACTCTGTGTGTGTTTTGCGCTAAGGCGATCGGCTACTTGGCAAGTTGGGATTGAAGTTCAGCAATTTGCTGCATTTCCTTTGCCTTTGACATCTGCACTTGGGCGCGGCTTCAAGCTCGATTTTACCTTTGGTGGTCTCTACATTGCCTTCAACACATGCATTTGGGCACAGCTCCCAATGCGATTTTACAATTGGCGGCCTTTGCTTTGCCTTTGAAGCTGCATTCGGGCAAAGATTCCAATTTGACTGTTCCAATTGGCTGTCTTTGCTTTGACAGTGCAAATTGGAGTTTTCATGGTGAATGCTTCTACAATCCATGCAGGCCAGTCACGCGCCTTCAGGCGCCAGGTACGGGTTCTCACACCAAATGTGCGCCAAGCTTAGGGCTCTAAAGCCCATTGCAAAGGTTTGCCCAAAGGGTTGACCATGTAGGATCCCCAGGCTTCCACATTTGCTGGAATTATCAAATGTGTTTTATGTTCCCCTACGGGGAATCTATCACTGCTGGAAGTATGTTTGTTTTTCTGAGACAACTTAAGCAAATGGAGGTAGGGGTTGTCCAAATCGGTTCTCAAGCACGGTTCGGCCAAAGGAGTGGATCATAGTGGATCTCCTGGACGTTCGACCCCCTTTGGTCAGAAGTTATGAGCTATCACCGGAATAACTGAGACCCCTGTTGGCTTACATGGAACCATACTTAGGACCTATCTACTGAGTAGGTTGAACATCCAAGCAACCCCGGCATTTCCTTGTGCCTCTGCAGCCTCTTGCAGGCATTGCTCGCCCGAGTTGGCGCTGCTGCTGTTTTTGGAGGCGCCTGGGAGATGCCTCAGCTACCCCAGATTCCTTACACCCAGACACCCAGGGGTGCTTCTTTGTGCTTTGATGGCCGCGGAGGGTCGGGGTGTATGGTATATGTGATATATGTGCCATAGTCAAAGCCGCGTCCGGGTTGCCCCAATAAAATGCGTGTTTCTGTCAACCCCACAAAGGGTACCCTCAAACACCCACTGCCAACAGGATCAACATCGACTTGGCCATTTGTAGGTGCCTACTGGACGGGGGCCACAAAGGTTGGAATTGTTCTTTTCTGGAGTTTTGGAGGAGAGATGTCCAGTCAACCCTCCTAAGGGTTTAGCAACCTAAGCTGTGTGCAGGGCCAGGATACCAGCCATTATATTTTCTCGATATTGTTCTCTGGCTTTCGGGGGCGGTGTGAATGGATCTCAGATGCGGATGCAGGTCTTTCTTTTGACTATTTTACGCCTTGAAGCCCACTGAACAGCAAGCTGTAAGGCTACCCTGCCACCCGATACCGGCGAGGTGCAGCAAGACCTTTCTTGTTTCGACAAGGCTAGTTGAGCCCCAAAGCCTTGTCCTCTAGGAGGGGTTTGGGGGATGTTCCCTCCATGGCTTTGGAGCGGTCCAGTGAGTTGATTTGCCGTATGTTTGGTTCATGCTTGATTTAAGAATGATTCACTACAGGGGGCTGTGTAACTGTCCCAGTTGTTTTAGATGGGTCAGGCTCTTGAGTCGGTATGTTCGTAGAGTCGTCGTAGTACACCCTTCAACTCTGGGAGCTTGGCCCGCATTTCGATCAACGTCGGACATCCTGAGGCCACTTGAGCTTGGGCAGCGCCCACCCCCCAAAAGGGCCATGTCAGGTGGCTCGGTTCCCGGGGTGATAGTGACGGATATACGGGTGTGCCTTTCTAGGGGTCCCCCTTGTGGTGGCTTTACGTTGAAGGGAAACCAAGAGGAAAGCCCACCCAATTTGGATGTCCCCTAAAGAAGGACACACCCATACAAAGCTCTACAACCAATGCTGCGAGCACCAACAGTCAACCGTTTTGAGCCAAGTTCTCTTCGGACTCAGAGAATTCGAAGGATACCCACTCTCAACGGGATTTCCACCCTAAGTATGGTCCGCATGAGTCCGAAGTTGACACTTCTGGAAATGCTTTCGAAGAAAACACCGAGAGCTCCAGCTGGCATCACCTACAGGCTCTGGCGTGTAACACCCGCTTAACGCTTGAAGGTAAGGGATGCATGACTTTCCCTTCATGCAAGCGAATTTCCGCCTTCTTGCTTTTGTACGTGTTGGGTAGACCACTTTAAAACCAGGTGAGCTCAGGTGTTGATTGTTACTTACCTTTCGAGACTTCTGGTAGTGTCAACACTCCCGTTCCTTTGGTTTCTCTTAAGGGCGCATTTCCCTCCGAAAGGGACGACCTTTGTGGCCCTTGCGGAACTGGCCAGGTGGGGGTCATAGCGGCCTCAGTGGCCGTTCTGGTCTCGCCGCTTGGCCAAGCGGAAAGTGGAAAGCTGTGGAAAGCCACCCGGGGACCCACGAATTTCGACCCTGGATTCTCCAGCAAGTGTTGTTTTTTGCACGGGTGTCCCATTTTAGGTTTAGAACCCCGATGAGCCTTTGACATCTTCTCAAAACTTATCAACGCGGCCTGTCCGGCAATCGCTACTTCTGCCCGAGGCATAGGACTGTAGGACCTGCGCTGGGTGTGCCCCAGGTTGGGCGCCCCAACTTGCTGGGTTTGCTGGGAAGCCACCTTTCCCTTGGGATATCAACTATTTGAACCAATTATGTCGACCTCGCAAGGGGTTGCGACCTCGACCAAGATAAAGGTTATTATATCTTAGCGGCCCAATTCTGATTCAGGTTTTGGTGAATGACAAAGGTTTGCTCAGATTGCTTGGAGATTTGAAGTGGTGCTTGTCGAACGAAATGACAAAGCACCTTGACGTGCGCGGGTGCTCAGCGCTTTGCAAGTGGTCAACGGGTCTAGGGTTTAGGGTTTAGGGTTAAATTTGCTTAGGGGAAGGCAGCTCCCCACTTGGATGTTCATCCCGCGAGCTCGGATATAAGCGTAATATGCGGCATTTGCGCCTGAACACATGGCTAATGACAATCTACTCCCTTGCAGATTCACATGGAACGCAGCAGGAGAGTGAGTACATACGAAGTTGATCTGCAATCCAGGCAGTGGAGTTAGTTCACCCAGTTGAAATGTCGGTGGGAGCTCTAGCCTATTCAATCAAAAGGTCTTGCGACCTTTTGCTCAGAGAAAAGCAACCCAGACTCTTCTGCTGGTTCCAGTCTACCTAATTTGACCATGTGTTTTAGAACAAATCGCCGCTCTGGGTGTATCTTAAGTGGACCCCGAAACTGGATTTCGGTTTTCCCGGTGGCTTTCCTTTAAAGGGATCAACCAAACAAGGATTCCCCCCCCAAAGAAAAAAAAAGAGCGAGCCATGCCCTGATATGGATCGTCGACCGAGAGGTTGGGCTCGGGCCCTGGCATCACCCTACGCACGGACATCGGAGCCTTGATCTGCCACTTGGATGGGGCTCTCTTGGGTCTGGAAAGCTCCCCGACCTCCAGTGTGTGCCCGCTTTTTCTTGCTTAAGTTCTTGTTTGATTGGCGGAGGTTTCCCCCTTCAACATCAACTACCCCAAACAGGCATGTTTTTTTTTGATCGAACTCCACTGGGGGTCGGGCAAGTGGGTATGTTTCAACACAGTGTAAAAAATCATGAAACATTGGGGTGACTGCGGATGGACAAAAACAACGCCGATCGGCAGCAGCTGGGACTGGTGAACGTGTTGTTTTGAGGATGTCACTTTAATTGGACCCAGTATGTGCTTCTCGTCCGGTTGTTTCAGAGGGACCCATTGCCACGGCAGGTTAGCAGGTCTGTCTAAAGAGGAACTGCAGAGATCGGCTTCCCGGTTTTCCGTTTTGTATGTATTCTGTGTTCTGTCGCAGGGTTCCCTACATTTCAGTTTACCCTTAAATGGTGGTGGTTTCCAGGGGTTCTTGTAGAGGGTAGGTGCGACCCCCCTGGACCACCAAACCACGCATCCAAACCACCAATTGTGAACATTTCCTCTTTCAACACACCAAAAGGAAACTCACAAAATGGCAACTGCAACAGCAACAGGACGCTCAAAAATGGAAACAGGGAAGACAAACAGGGCACACAAAAACCATGTGTGTTTTTGGCACCCAACACGGAAAAGCCAAAGATCGGCCTTTTCCCGGAGCTCCACAAACAAGCATAGAAGCCAGCATTTCTTAGTGCTAACAAGATCGAAACCCATGTTTGACACGGAAGCCGGGGAGAAATAAAGAAGCCGGTGGCCTCAGGCGGGGCCATGAGCGTGTTGGGCATGTTCTGCCTGGCGGTCCTAGAGATGTGTACCCGGAAAGCTTCAGCCTGCGATGCGGCTCGGCCATCGATTGGTCGCGATTGGGTTGGACTTTTATCCTTCAAGTGTTTGATAGTTCGTGCGTTTCCCCACTACCCAACAACTGGTATTGCTTTTTGGTGCAGGGGGCAATAGCCACACAGAGGTTTTGACACCCCTCCCCCCCAACCCTTTGTCTCGTATGCAGTTTGCATCCCCTCTGAGGTTAGTTTGGTTAGAAATACATGGCCTTGGTTTAGATAGGTTTTATTCCATTTTGCTAGGGCCATTGTTTTTACCCAAAGGACACCTTTGTTAGAGGGCAATGTGGAGTATGTCGCTTGAATGTGCCCAGGCTTGCGGCACTCCGGTTGTTCAGTGGGCAGGGTTTCGACCCTGCCGGGCGGGTCGAATGGGAGTGGTCAAACATTACATGGCAAAGTGGTGTCTCTTGAGTGGAGACGTTTCGCTTTTTGCCAATCCCCGCGAGCACCTCAGCCAGGTTTGATAAAACCTTCCATTTGCCTGCCAGACTAATTATTTTCTATTTTCCTCTCTTGGTTTTGAAGGGAATCCATCACTACTGAACATATTTGTAAATTTCCAAGGGGACTTAAGCAAATGGAGAAACCCATTCCTTGGGGGAGCTTGAGTGATGTAGGGATTTTATTTTTGACAAGAGTGCTGAATCAGCGAAACAATTGCTGGAATCTGCATGTTGGGTAGACAGGGGAGGGGGTTGCACGGACTCGAGCACGGTCAGGACTAGCCCAGGGGTCTTGTCCAAAACATTATTTGATAGTTTAGGGTAGGCAAAACCGCCTCAAGTTTTTGGCAGACATGAATCCCCAGCTCAATGATGTCCACCGAGGGTTCATAATTGACAATTACAGCGATATGAAAGAGTCAGAACAGATTTGTACCCCAGATGGGCCTAGCAGAATGCACACTAGGGGAAGGCTCCGGAGAACATGCGCTGTTTCGGGCCTATGTCCGCAGAGTGACAAAGTCATGTGCTGGTATTCCCGGAGCTCCCGCGAAAACTCCTCAGCCAATCTAGATGTTAATGCATGAAGTAGGGGACCGTCACAAGGGGAAGTTCGGCAGAATCTTGGACCACTTATTGGACCACTTATCGATTTGTGAGTTCCATTGTTATATTGTCAGGTTTCATACGTAGATCCATGTTTCATGCAGTTCTTGGGTCACGAACCACTTTCAGGTATAGCTCCAGTATTCTTGATGAGGAAGCACAGCCCCCCACCCACACGAGCCTGATTCTCTTAATCATCTAAATGATCCATGACCATCTTTGGGGTTCGTAGGGGCTGGACGTGTCACCGTTATGTCCTGGTGTTGGAGGGGTGGTTTCTCCCGCAAAATCTGCAACGATTTTGTCGGATATTGAAATATTGAAAATCCTTCCCAGGCCTCGATCTGGCCCCGGTTTGGGGCCGGTGGGTCGGATCGGATCGAGGTCCTGGCGGTCTACGGGCAGATCACGTTGCACATCAACGCCCTAGGCCTCGGCTGCATCACGCTGCTGGGCCACGCCTGCTGGGCTCTGGTGCAGCTTCTCCTGCTGGCGGCCCCCCGGATTTGCGAGGGACGGAGGGATGGACGTCAAGGAAAATGATAATTATTCCATTTGCCTTCCAGGATACCTCTATTTCGATTTTTCCCCTGTTTGTTTACAGGGAATCTATCGCTACTGGAAACATGTTTTTTCTCGGGGACTTGGGCAAACGGAAGCATTTGAGGGTGCCCCTTTTGGGGTGTTAAAGGGGAAACCAAAAAAACCTCCGAAATCCATTGTTGGGGTCCGGGGACCAGGTCATGTGACCGCTCCAAAAAGTACTCACCCAATGGAAGAGGGTACCCCTAATTTGGCCTGGCTTGGTCTTGAGACTTGCCATGGCTGGTCTTCGTGTGACCGAATCGCCCTGGAGCCAACCTTTCGGAAATAAATGGCTGTTGAAGGTCTAAAGACCGTTTGCTCAGGGGGAAGCGGAACCCAGGGAAACCGTCTGAACCAAACCCCTTCAGGAAAGCACTGTGTGAACCAACAAACTGCTCCAGTTGTTTCTTAGGTTTGATCAAGCCAAGCCTTTGAGGAAGGCGGTTTTCAGGAGACCAGTTCAGGGGACATTTTCTGTCTAAGCCACGCTTGTTCAAGTTTTCAAGAGGCTATTTCAAACCGAACCTTTGAGGAAACTTCATGAAGCTTGAGATTTGTTTGATCAAAAGCGGATAGATTGAAAGCACCCTAATCCCGGCTTGCTTGTTTGTCCCAACTGATCGAAGGCCACAAACCTAACTTATCACCCTTTTCAGCGAATTCGTTCTCGGGTGCGTTTCTTCTTGTTTGTCTGTTTGAGGCTCGGTGCCTTTTCAGCACCATCTTGCAGGTTGCCCTATTTGAATTTAAGCATACCCATGTTTATCTAGCTGGAAGCCAACCATCCCCCAACTTTTGCTCCCCCATATTTGGTCACGTTCCAAGTTCGGGGGTGCCTGGTTTCAGGGTCTAAGTCCGGCCAAAGCTCTGATTTGGAGAAGCACTTTGTGGCGGCTCCGAGAAATCAAACCAGCCTTTGGCACGCAATTTTCAGGGCCCTAAAATTTTGGTCAGTAGGAGCCTTGCAGCAACCAGGGCTGGGCAGGCTCTGTTCAAACTGGTGCAAGGGCTACTCTGGTTTCAACAGCATCTGACTGTCACCCCTCTCCCCCTTTGACTAACTGAGAGGCCTCAAGAGAAATCCAACTTTGGATTCGTCCAGAGGATGCAACTGGTCCGAGGACCCACTAAAAAGCGATGACATCTCTACCAAGCAGGGAACCACACCTGATTTGTTTGGTCCGGATACATCCGATGCCTGAACCCCATAATTCTCACACGAACATCTTGCATGTGCTTAAGATTTGTTCCCCGCTGTTGCTTTCAAAGGGAATCCATCACTACTCGAAATATTTGTATGTTGCCAAGGGACTTTAGCCAGCGAAAGTCGTGAATCATGACATCCACGGATCTCTTCAACTACCATGTAGTTGGCAAATATCCCCGCGATAGGTCAGCAGCAGTTACAACCAGCCTTGCCAAAGCCAGAAACATGGTTGACACAAATCCCCACCAAATGTTGATGTCCACAGGGTTCCCAAAAACAAAGATAGCCATTTTGGCCACCAACCCCCCCTTCAAATCAAATACATCAACCAAGTAAAGACGTAACGAGGCTGCCTTCGCCTGGGTGGTGTTCATCTGGGGCGCGGCGGCCGCTCGGCGTGTTGAGCGATTCGAGTCTCCGACGGTTTGAGATGCCAAGCGATTCCGCGTGTGGAGCTAAATGTGGGCTGTGACAAAGAGTTGAGCTGTGTAGTTCGGCAATCGCTTGCCTGGGGTTACCCAAGGATTTGGTCTCCTTTCTAGTAGTTTCCACTAGGGATTAAGGCTGATTCGGGATTAGGAGTGGCCAACCCTTCATTTTGAGCAGCCCAGAAAAGCCAAACAAAACAGTGCTTCCTGTTGCCTTTGTACAAGGTACCTCTTCTGTATGTTTCCCTTTTCCCCTGGTTGCTATAGTGGCTTGCCTAGAGGCACCGGGAAAGGGGTCGAATTATTTTTCTACTGGGCTGGTCAAAATTAATCCGCAATGCTTATGGCAGGTAATTCTTTACAGCCCCCCCCCGCCAAAGTCAGAAGGTGTGGTCTGATGGGGTGATGTTTTTTGTTGCGGCCGCTCCCGCGAATGTGGGAGACTGAGTAGTAAAGCGGGTTCCGGGAGTGTGCCGGCGTGCCCCAACTGATCGAGAAAGTGTTTGAGGCAGCAGGGTCCTCTTCAATGAACGACGAATCCCCATGTGAGGCGATCCGCATTTGGCACCTGGGCTCCTGAAAGTGTTCCTTGTGCAGGTTCTATGTTTGTTTTGGGGGTGGTACCTCTCTCAATTTACACTTAAAATGCACACTTACTTTGTCTGGATGGAGGGTTGAACGCCCCATTCTGCTAAAGAGTTTCTTGCTTGGCACGTGTTGCGACTATATCACCTGCAGCTCACAGGATTTGGTTGGCGAGGATGGTGAGCGCCTTGCATAAGCATGTTTGATAATTTCACTTTCACTTGAGCCGGTGGACTTCATGTTTGTGGAGTCTTCATGATTTTACCGGGAAACACCCACTCAGGAACTGAGTAATACTGCGGAATCCAGGCCAAAGTCGATGTTGACACTCAGGTAAATCTTTGGCATTGCCTCTACTGCAGCAAGGCAATTGCCTCGCCGGGATGGGAGAACGTTCCCCTGTTGTTCAGTGGCATTTGTTTTACCATTTTGTTTGGTGGGTGTCCCAAAAGGATCAAAAAAGGCTCGCTGTGTTTACAATGTCACTGGGCAACTGGCGCACAGTGCCATTGTTGTTTTTTCGTCCGTTTGGTTTGGCAATTTGTATTTGCCGACCCTTGCTTGGATTAGTAAAACAGGGGTAGTGGTCGTCGCCTGAAGTTGATTTGAGGGCTACACCTGGCCTTCTTTCTTACCCATATCATATGACGTTGTTATGGTCTGCTCCGCTGTACATCTGGTTCCTGTTTGGCTTCTGCATGGCTCCTTGCGTTTTTTTTTGGTGCCAGTTTATAGGCTTTGTCTGGCTTGCAACCTACTCCTGCGTTTGGTTTCTCTTTGGCTTGTTTAAACAGGGGTTGGCAGCCAGGGTGGTTGACCCAAAGTTGAAGCAGAACCTGGGCATATATGGGCGTTTTTTTCTAGGTACCTTGTTTGAGATCATCTTAAAAGAAGACAAATGGAACCCACCATTTTGCGGGTCCCCGATTTAAAGACAGACACCTATGCAGCCACCCGAGTTTCTCAGTGCCACGTTTGCTCCTGCCGCAACCTGGCCAATCCAAGATGGCTACTGCCAAGCCGCTACCTCCAAGGAAAATCGGGTACCCGCCCATGGACCCTGACCTGAGGGAAATCATTGTCGAATATCAATCGAAACCTAGGATTCCTCGATGGCTTTAAATATCACCTTGGGATCCCTTTAACGTGAGTTTCCTTGGGGTGATGTGGTCTTTGGGTTGACATGTTCCTGGGGTCTCCCTCTGACCTGACAGAAAAATGGGTCATGACTCAAAATAAAGGCTAAGAAACCAGGAAATTCTACAGAAAATCCTGGTTGCCCGTGGGTATTTGGATGTTCAATTTCCTGGCGTGAGTTCGTTCCCTTGTTCTGCCCTGCATGCCTGATGGCTCCGCTTGGCCAACAACTCCTCCCTACACTGGGTGGAGTCCTCCGCACAGTTACGTGTTTCATTTTTCCCGTTTTGCTGGCACGGCGCTGCAATTTTGCATGCTGCACCCGGGCATGCCCCGCGGTGCTTTGCACGCCATTGCAAGTGCTCCCCCATTTGGTGCACTGACCCTGTCTTGTTTGCACCATTGTGGTGGCAGCCTGATTGGTTTGTGCGTAGAACAGAACATTGCCATCACCATGCACCCTTTTCACAGCAGTACTGCATGCAACCCGCACAGGCTGCGGCTCGAGCTCGCCGCATCGATTTTGCAGCCTGTGTTTTGTTGCATGAGGGTTTACCCCCTTTGCGGGGTCGGCTCTGGCGACCCTTTTGCCCTCAAACCTTCCCTGACAAAAGGGGAGTGCAGTGTGAACAGCACGCGGCAACCGCCGCGCCTTTGCATGTTCAACAAAGCCAGTTTGCAATCACAGCAACAGCATCACGCACATGCCAGCAGCCCCGGCAGTCTCCGCAGTGCTTGCACGCCTTTGCAAGTAGTTTATCACAGTGGGCTTTGTATCGCTGTGTTTGCCCTGACTTGCAACTTGCATATGTTGCGTGTATTCCTGAATATGCCGTGCGGCATGTCCGCACCAGGCATGTACAGCCAAGTAGCTAAGAACGGGGTAACCCCAAGAATCCGTAGGCCCGAAGAAACCCTAAAACCCGAAAGCAACCCTGGGAAACCATAGGAACCCCCTATTTAGTAGGCAACAAGTCACTGCCGGGAATTGCACAGATGAGACCAATCAATGAGGACATAAGGAAAAGAAGGACAGTCTCAGAAACCAGCCGAAATTCCCACGGCAATTGGGTATCGAAACACCCACCAAAAAGGCCAGCAAGACAGCAAGATCACTTTCCTGGCCTGGCTGAGGGTTTCTGAGATACATGAGTCATAGGGCACGGGTCCCAAAGAAGGTTTTCGGTTGGGAAACCAAAACCCAGCCCAGAGCGAGCCTCACGACAGGTGAAGCTGCGTCTCTCTCCGCTGGCGTCGGAGCTGCGGCGCCTGCCCTGGAGGCGCAAAGGGACCCATCTCACAAAACGCGTCAGAATGGGGGGCCCCCCAAAACGGTGGTTTCATGTTGGTTCCCTCAACAAAGGTACCCTCCATGAACTGAAGGGTGACAAAATGGGAGAAACCACCGCCAACTGAAGGATTTTGCCAATCAGACACCTAATGGGAACCCCAGATTAATAATCCAATCCTATCAAAAATGTGGCGTTCCCTCCCAAAGTGGTCTGAATCCAACCACTACAAGGGGACACCCCATTCAAAATCAATCAGGGGTTTATACATCCGGGGTTCACAGTACGAAGTTGGGGGTCCCCAAAGAAAGAGACCCAAATCAAGTTGCGCTAAAACGACACGCCTCGCTTGTCCTTGAAGTTCCCTTTGAATTAGCGTCAACCCCCGTAGACAATATACCCTTATGTCTCTTTGTGGTTCGAAGAGTTTCTGTTATGCCTGCCCAATCACTCAGTTGCCCAAAGCCGACCTTTGGGTTGTCCGGGTTCCAGAAAGTTAAACTGTCATTTCCGCATCCTTTGGACAAGACAAAAAAGGTTCGATTCAATTTGAAAGGTCGATTTTCATAGGCTGGCTTCAGAATGAGAATGTATTCCTGGTGTGGGGCTTGTAACCTTAGGAACCTTTTCCACCGAAAGGCAGCTAAACGGCCTCCAAGGTTTTGAGCCGAGGGTTTTTTGAACATCACCTTCTGGGCCAATTTGAAGTGAGTGTCCATTTGGTGGGGTGATGGTTGAATAGGAAATACAGGCCCAGACCTTCAGAGGGGCATGTGTGTTTTTTTGCACCGTTTCTGTAGGGTTCCCTTCCCCCCTTTCACATCTACCAAAACAAGGGTGGCGTTTTAAAAGCCCATGGCTGCAGGTCTGGGTAAATCTGGCAAATGGCATTTGGCAGATCACCTCACCTCAGTTGTTCAAAACTCCCTTTTGGCAACCATTTAGGAGAAGTCCCAAAAGGTGATCACCTTGTATATCTCGATCTGTTGGGAAAGTGAGTTAGCATTTTCCAAACTCTTGTAACTTGCCCGAGCCACCCATCATTGAACAGGACCCGACCAACCCGCACCCAAACTAGGGACTCAAGCGTTTCAACTAGTGGTATCCAAATGCCGATGTGTGTCTGTGTGTGTCGTGTGTGTCGTGTTTTTTTTTGGAACGGGTCCCTTATTCGAGACAGTCCCATTTCGCATAAGGAAATGCCTCACACCTGGTAGTTGGACATGCACCCCCCACAGGATGTCCACCAAAGCGTCCCCATGTGAATGGTTGTTTTGCAACAACTCGGGTTCTCACAGCGCCTATTTTGAGAACCACGATTAAGTAGGGCTTTCTGGTTACTACATGGGTTGGTCTTGAAGTAGGAAAAAGGAGCACCCAAAATGGGCTTCGGTATTCTTCTGGCTTCCCTCTGAAACAATCCTCAAAAGGATCCCACATGGTTCTGCGCAAGTGATGCTCACCTGGGAACAAAAAGAGCTTCACAGCAACTCATTTCCCAAAATCATCCTAATTTCCAGTTTGTCAATTGTACTAATGTGCCCACCTGTTGTTGCCAAATTGGTGTGTAGTCAAGGGGTCCTTTCCCTTTCAGGTCAAAACCGCCTTGCGTTCCTGGCCTTGGCAAACAAACAGTTTGGACGTTTCCGTTGTATATAATAGCACACTCAAATCTAAGCCCAACCTAATTAACACCAACCCGAAACCCGCTCTGAATCCATCCGAACACCCTGGTTACACCCTACACTAGCTTGAACCGTGTCTACCTCCAGAATGCCAAAGGCTGGACAAGAATGGACATAAATCATCAACATGTAGAAATGACACATTCTGGAGGGTGATTCCTGCCAACAAAGGCAAGACGCCGTTGCTTAAAGGCACCAGAAGCAAACTGTCACCCTTTAAGGCCATGAATCCAATTTTGCAAACCTGCCCTAATCCCCAGACCTACCTTTAGCTCAACACCGCCTAAATCCCCTGCAGGATTCCTAGAATGGAGAGGGCTTTCCTTGAATATCAACTACAGTACCCAGACGCTCCTGGGGCTTAAATGGAAGACCCAGACCCTCCATTAGACACCCGGAGGGGTTTGGGGGTCTCAACGCCTGGCAGCTTGAGGCCCAATATATATATATATATATATATTGGGCAACAACAGCCATGCATTTTGACGTTCAGCAGGATCAACAAACTAACAAGAGTCCCGCCCCTTTTTGTTGGGGCGCGGCATATCTGGTTCCCTAAGCATCATTGGACCCTCCATTGAAGGGTAGTTAGGACCTCCATTAGAAGGTGTTGGACCTCAAAAAGGGCCTTGTTCAGGGCCCAAGATTTGGGAGTGGTAAGGAAGACCAAAGCCGATTATTTGGGGAACCCTAAACCATGTGAATCCCAACACTCAACCAATCCCAACCCCATTCTGTTTTGCCACTTCGAAGTGAGCTTTCTTTTGGTGGTGGGATGGTTACTTTCGGGAACTTAGGGAACCCTGTTAGCCAAAGCATCATTGGACTTGCCGTTGAAGGGGCTACCTCATTGGAAGGTCTTGGGCCTCAAAAAGGACTTGCGGCCTTTTTGAGGGCCCGTTCGATGCTTAGGGTGGATTTTAAAGCGCCCCACCCCCCACCAAAGGGCAAAAGGGCACTGGGGTTTCCTGACAACCCAAACCGATCCAAAACGGAGTCGGAGCGAGGTTCGCGCTGTTCGCCTGGGTGTTGCTGGTGACCCTCTCCTGCCTCGCCGTGGTGCCAGTGCTCCGCGAGGCTGTGGGCTTGTCCACCGAGGCGCGGATCGATCGAAGTGGGGGCAGAGGACCAGCTTTCAACCCCTTAGATCGACACTTGTTTTCTTGGGGGGTTCACATGGAGGCGTCCTGCAAATTGGGTCGGGCAAGATCCCTTTAGTCAAGGTTTTGAACAAGTTAACCTTGTAGTTCTAGGTCCTTCAGGGAACTGAGACAAGTGTGGTTTAGACACCATGGTTCAAACAAGGGGCTGAATCAATCCACTTGGCGGGGGTCTGAAGGTCGGGCGCGGTTGCCTTCAAGCACGGAAGCATGGCCTTTTCGATGCTCCACCTGAGCTGCCCATGTGGCAAAACAAGCTGATCATGTACACGTGGATGCCTTGGTTCAGGTTTCGGGCAAATAGGGTCGTGCTTTTTTAGGGACCCCCCAAAACGATGGATTCCTTTAGGTTTCCCTTTAAAGCCGACCAAAAAAAGGTTCAAACTCAGAAAGACGAGCCTCCCATATTCTAGAACTCGAAGAATCTACACCCACCCCACACCCACCCTAAAGACACCCCAAACCAAGCCTTTTCGATCCAGGCAACCCTCAGCCGAATCAGTTTTTGGGTACGCCTATCGGTTTCTGGTGGTTACGTTGTGGGATACCCAACCTAATCTGCCAGCTATGGAAATCCAAGGCCAAACATATCCATGGCTGGTTGTTGTAGCCTTAGCCCCTCAGACCTTTTAGACATGGCTTTTCCATTCCTGCAAAGGATAGACGCTTCGCTCGGGGGGAAGAGTAACCCAAGTACCCAGGCAGGTCCTTTAGTTGCAGGCGGTTTGCTGAGACATCCCCACCACGGGTACCCCAATGAAGGCATAGTTCCTTCCTCACACAGGGGTGTTTCTCAAAATGGAGGTTCGCTTTTTCGGATGGGGTTAAGTCTTAAGCTTTAAGGCGTTTTAAGGGGAAACCAAATTAGCAAGCCAACCACCTGAACAGGTGAAACGTCCCGTTTGGAGAAGAGACAACATGTGGATGTATGAGGACGGGGGCTGAACCCCGCGCGTTTTCCAGCCCCGCGTATTTTAAGGCGGTGCTTTTCCCAGCCCGAGGCATTTGGATTTGAGGCCTTGCTCCTGTATTCGCGTGTTTCGATTAAACTCATATGTGTGCACTCTACTTGCTTGATTGTTGAGGGACACCTCTCAATTTGTAGAGAGTTGGAAAGTCAAGGAAGTTGGGGATGGTGGGAGGCTATCCATCAACTTAGGCATATGATACATTCCTAATATTATGTTCATCCATTGCCATAGACATGCCCATTAGCCCATATCCGTGAAGTTACATGGATTAGGCTTTATCCAACAGCTTACCACTAAAATGATCCACCAACTATTCCATCAGTTTGTCTCCATTAAACTATATAACTTGCTTTTATATACCTTACGTCAGGTCGATCAACTTTGACCCAGTTACCTATATCAAAACCTTCTTCCAATAACTCATATTCAGTAAGCATGGTTATACGCGAATTATCCACTGGCTTATGTCTGGAAACCTGTCATTTTACATTCTGCCTTGGAACAGGGCAATGTACAGGAAGTCAGCCCAACCCTTGTTTGTACTGGTTTGGCAAATTGTTTGTAGAATTCCCGTTCACTGGCTTCTTGGAAGGTTGGATTTTGCAAACCCCCGTTGCATCGGTTCCGAGATGCACCTGGCGGAGCATCTATTGCTGATGGGCCTCGGGGGGATCTTCGGCTCGGCGCTGCTCTCGCCGCTGCTCGCATGATTTAGCTGGGCTGGCTTTTTGGAGCCTCTTCCTATCCCTCAGCATCATTGGACCCTTGGGGTCAGGACCTCCATGCGATAGTTTGGCGCAAGGTAACCAATTACTGCGCTGCTTGGTCTTCAAAAGTGTCTTCTTTCCTGAGATTCTGATTGAAACTCAGTTTACATCAGGACGATTAGATTTGGACCAGACTTAAACATCCCTCTAACATCCTTGGATCATAACCTGTCATGATGCCTTGTGTGGGTCCACGCTATGCTCTTGGATTGTTTTTGCTAGACAGAAGGCTTGCCTCTGCCACTGTTTCCTTTCAAGTTGTTCAAACAGATACATGTCTGACGACGCAGCAAGGGCACATGACCCACCCTGAACAGATGGGGCTCGAGGCGGAACATGCCGTTGGATGGCTTGCCCCCGCGAGGATGCATTTCTGCTGATGTGACGGTGAGCTCGCTCTGGGAAAACAAGCTCACTGTGATGTCCTTGACTCCTTGACTTGTCGATCGAGTAAAACAAGCTCAGGTTTCGGAATTCAAGAACTTGCAGATGTCCTTTCAACATCTTATCCACCGACTATTGTCCATCAGTTGATATCCACCACTTTGTTTGACTTGCCTTATAACTCATATACATTATGTCATGTCGAATTACTGTTTCCCATTTACCTATATCACAGCCTTCTTTCCATTAACTTACGTTTAGTACAAGCATGATTGTCCACTAACTTATCCATTAGCTAATAGCTTGTATCTCGAAAGCTCATTCCTATGGCCCCCCTTTGTAGCACGTACCCTCCCCTGTCCATGGCACCCACAAGGGTGCGGGGAGCCGTTTCCGCCTGGTTTCCTTTTTGGTCAACAGCAACCTCCAAAACGGTACCCTAAGAAAAAGGGGGCACTACTCAAGGTGCCTTTGAACAGGCCTCCCTATACTTCGGGATGTTTTGAACATCAACTTGGGCCAATTGAAACAGTTTTTTGTGGACGCTGAAAGACAGGCCGGGACCCGGGTACGCAAAATGGACCAGGCACCTTTCAATCTGTTTGCTTTAGTTTCTTGTTCTTGGGATTTGAGATAAAATGTGGGCGGCCACTCATCTCAGGGAACCCCAAATCCAATTGGGAGCCTCTCGCAAGGGGGGGCCAAGGGAAAATCATGACCCTTGGACTTGAATGGCTCCTAAATAAGGTCACTAAGAGTCCCCACTAATTACTGTCGGGGTTTCAATAAAACAGGTTCGAATCGCTTGCAAAGGACACTCTGACAGCAAATCCCAAGTGTCCGAGTTCGTTGACTTGGAAATATGCTTTAAACAAAGTTCCGTGGTAAGTAGTACCATTGTTGATTTCACCGAGGACACCAAATTTATTTTTGTGAACCTCCCCTCCCGACTCCGAACATGTTTGCGAACTTGCCCCACCAGTCTCAAGATTGTCTACAGTAAACGTGGCTGTCGCTGTTGGGCTTGGTTGTTCTCATTTCCAGACCCACTATGTTGGTACTTGGCTGGAACATGGGCGAGCATATCCACATCCATTTTTAGCAAGTTGTCAATTGAACTGGAAAATGGCGGGTTGAAACCTTGCTCGTTGAACGCAGTGGTCAAACCCAGAAAAAGCTGATACACAATGAATCTTCGTAAAGGACCTTTACAGGACCTTCTACAAAGCTGATACCTGGTCTTCTTTCGTGTCACCCACCTGCGAGGGTGAGGAACTTAACCTGCATGCACAAATTGGATCGCTGTTCTCGTCCCTTGAAAAAGATGAACCTGGGCGGCCAAGAAAAGCAAGACTGATTTCATGGAAGCCCTTGCACAGCAGGGTGGAATTGGATGCATCCCTCACGGGTTTTCTTGTTGCATGAGATCAACCACCAAGACCAAGGCTGTTGCTGCTCACACGCACGGGCCGGCGACGCCACGCGCGAGCACGGGCCTTGGGCGAAAGGTTTTTTCAGTGGATTGGTCTCAGGCGAAGAGATCCCGGAGTGTACAATGTTGACCCCGGAAGATGGATCCCCTTGTTGAGTTTTATTGCATTTTATGGTGGAATTCTGACCACTTTTGGAGGGACATGGCTATGTTTGCTACGTAGTGAGGCATACCTGCCAAAGGGTTGGTGGACATAAAGCCATGTCCACCAGAGGGTCACCAACCAAAATTCACACCCACATGTTTACGAACTCCACGCTTTCTCTTGTGAGGGAACCCTGAAAACTCGGCCAGGGACCTCTCTCCAATCAGGAACAATAAATTTGGGCATGGCTCATATCACTCATGTATGATAGCAGTGTCCTCCATGTTGGGAACTCTGGTTGGTTCTGGGAAACCCAACGGAGAGGAATGTCTGGTTCCCTCGGTTTGAGACAAACCCATATTCCTATTCTTAGCCCTTGAGACATCCTTTTTGGTTTGTTGTACGGGAAACCAAGAACCCACGATCTTGCACTACTGCAAGGACAGAAACTTAGTGTTGTCGTTCCAGGCTGTTTAAAACGCAGCATCGCATGAATCCTATAGTGGTTTTGTCTTAAAGTTGGAGACCCCGAGAATCCTGGTTTGCCCTGTGCTTCCCTTTCAAGCAAGCCTAAGCAGCTACCCAAGAAGGACAGACCCATATGCTGACCGTAGCGACATCCTGCTTGCCCGAGGTCCGCCCAGGTCAGTCCCTTTGCCGCTTGGCCAAAAGGCTGTCCGCTCGGTTGAGGATAAGAGACCAACCCCAAACCGGGCTCAAGTGGACTTCCATGGGAAAGAACAGGCCACTCGTTCTTTTTGGTAAAGAGAAGCCGCCTCCGAAAATGAAGCAAAAAGGAGGTCTGCCCTAAGCATGATTGGACCCTCCATTGAAGGGGTTTGGGCCTCCATTGGAAGGTTTGCGGGGCCAAGATGCTTGGGATGGGAAACCACTTAGCTCAAACGGTGCCCGCAAAATAGGCAGCTTTGTAGGCATGCCAAGCCGAACAAAAGTGTGAGAGGTGCAGAGGGCTCTCTTAGAGGACCAGCATCCAGTCATAGGTGTTCATTTTCCCAAGAAAGATCCCAGGGATCGCTGGTCACTTTTTTGCGTTTCCAGGACCTTTTTGTTATACCACATGAACCTTTGTTTGTCTGTTGCTCTGAGAGACAATATCGGATCCCCTTGCTCAGAAAGGTTCTAAGAGAACCTTCGACCAGAACCCCTAAGCAGGTTCCATCCAATTCCTTGGCCCCCTGATGAGAGCCCTTAATTTGCTCGGAGGGGCTGAGGGTCCTTTGGGAGGTGCTTGGATGTATTTGGGGTGTTTGCGGCGGGTCTGTTGGGAGTCTGTTGGGGTTGGGGTTGTGCTGGGTGCCTTTTGTGCTGTTTTTGCCCAACAGCTGAAAGCTAGGGGGTCTCTGCCCAGATAAGCTTCGGAGTGGTTCGGAGGTGGGGCTAGTGTTCCGGGAGGGTTCCGGCGTGAACCGTTGGAAATACTGCATGCTTTTGGTTTGCGTCTTGGAAGGTTTTGTGTGACTTTGGGGTCTTCACCGCTGAGGCCGGGGCCTCTTGAAGGCTTATGCCTTTTCGATCTTTGCGCATCTCACAGCGGCGCTGGTGATCCCTCTGCTGGCGCATCCGGATTCTTGGGGTGGATGGCTGGGACGACTTCCATCCGCTGAAATGGATAGGTGTTGCTTTCCCTGCTGGTGTTAATGCGAATCGATCACTACTGGGAATAGGTTGCTTTCCAGGGGACGTCTCCGCAAACCTTGTACCATGGGCGTCCAGCGGTTTGCTTCCCAACGATGGGGTTCCCTTTTCAATGAAAATCAAGGTTTCAGATTTGTTTTGGGTTCCCACTGCTCAAAGTGCCCCAAAAGCTGACCCCGATACGTCCAGGAGACAGTTGGGAGATCGCTATTTTCAGGAGGGAGGGGGTTTGACTGATGCTCCATTTGTTCCACTGTGGGCACTGGAAACAAACAGCAACATGAAATTGACCTTCACCCCACCCTCTCCCGGCAGGGCTGTTGGGAGGTGACTTTTGACCCCAGTCCTGAAAGTTAGATTGCGTCCCGAGACCAGTTCATGGAACAAGTTTTCGTTTTTTGCGAATCTCAGGAAGCGGGTTGGGTTTTGGGGTGCCCAAGTGCTAAAGTCACGAGGATGCGACAGTTCTCGAAGGGTCCGGGGAGGTTCCAGGGAAAGTCTTGAAGAATGTCTTATCCTCCCCGGTTTTCCCGCATGGTGCGACTTGGACATTTCGATTGGTGGCTTTGCAGGATTTGAACGCCGAAAAGCACAACACTCAACGGTTGGAACCCAGGATTCATAAACCCTGCTAGGGCGTGGTTCATGCAAGAGCGTATCCGGATCACTTTGGCGGAACTGGTGTTGTACATGCCACCTGGCCAATTGCCACGAGCTTAATGGCGAGATTTGCGGATAACACGAGCTCTTCTGCATGAAACGAGCTCACCCATGAAGGTCCCTTCCTTGGGGACTTGTTCTGTATGGCTTTCGAAGGACTTTTTGGCCTTTAAAGGGAAAGAGTCCAGGGTCGTGAGTTGCAAAAAATGTGCATTTGGATGCCCAGAAGCCCCGATGCCACGTTGGTACCCTCGATTTGGCAGGCGCATTTGGCAATTTTTCTAGTCGCCTTCTTCCTGGTGTGGCTCGTGGTGATGCTGGCGCGCTGTCCAAGGCGTGAGCTACAGCTTCTGAAATCTCTTGGTGCTTTCCGGTGCTCTCCCGTTGGTTGAAACCCAGCCTTGTGTGTTGCCCTGTTTTGGGGGGGTTCTTTCTTTTTTGTTTGGTGTGGAGGGGGGAACTTTTTTCAAATGGAGGGAGTTCCCCTACCAAAAAAGGCTGCGCCACGCCTCAACCCCTCCCTCCCTTCAGACAGACTTACCCAGTGCTTCCAGGCAAGCCGCTGTAGTAGTGAACCAGGGCAACACATCCATGGCAAAGCCTAGAGGTACAAAATCCTATGGTTCCCAAAAGAGGCAACTGGAAGCACTTAGATATCGAAACCCATGGCTTCCCTCAAGGCCCCCGATTTCTGCCGCTTTCGGGAGCTTTGAGTGGGTGGGTTCAGGGGTTGGGCAGGCTAGGGCTTGCATGGGGAAAGGCCGTGTTCAGGAGAAATGGTTTCATCACTTCTTGTGAAACTGGCAACACATTGAGTTTGATAGGATGTCCTTTTGGTTGAAAAAGGCAGCGAACGAGCGGGGTTGGTTTGGCGGGGACATCCCACCATATTTTTGCAGGTTACAGAGTCAACCATTGAAAGCCGTACTTGGGCGTTCGTTGTGCAGTCTCATGTTTGACCACCTTTTCCGAATTGATGGTATTCCGGCCGATTGGTTTTCAAGAGAACTGGTCAGTCATAACGCGTACATGCCCAAACATGCCCAAACATGGAAAACACCAAAAGCAAGCCAGCTGCTTTCAGGGGCCCCCTTCCCATGTTGGCAATGTTTCAGCACCTCGAGGCTCATGCGAGGGCTGACTTTGAGGGTAAAATGATGGGGCCGGTGCTTATTGCGGAAGGGAACCGGTCCTCGTTGAGGGGCTCCATCTCCATTTCCATTTGTCCCGTTGGTGAGACAAACTCATGTATTTGCCAATGGCGAGCTCACTTGAGGGTAATATGAGCTCACCATGATCAAGAGTCACTTACGTGGGAATCCAATTTTCAGGTATTGGAATTATATATCGTAAATGAACTGATGCAGATGTATAGGGAGATCATGTAATGATCACATGCGGCTAAGTTTGGCCCTGGGCTTTTCCTCTGGTTCACAATTAAATCGATGGTCCAAGGGTCAGGACAGTACCACCAATGAAGAGGCCACCCTGTGTTTTGGCTTTGGGTGACCCCTGTAGGTGTTGATTGTGACTGCTTTATGTTGGACCCTCAACAATCCTCCCCCCCTCCCCCACCCACTGGAGCCAGTCGCCGCAGTCCTCTTTAGTGAAAATCTTGGGTCTCTGGGTGGGACTTGGACTTGCCACAACTTACTTTAGTATCTCCAGGGCTAAATTCAGTATTGCCAAGACTTGCTCCCACATTCCCAGTACTTCGTTTAGTATTAAGACTAAACTTAGTAGTAGTGCCAGGACTAAAGAGGACCCCAAAACAGTCACATTCGAGAGGCTCTGGGCCTCTTGCTGAAGTAGGGAAAACGCTTTCCACACAAATTTTATTACAAGTGGGGGTCCAACATTACTCTTCAAAAATGCAGCGATGACAGCCGGAACGCTGCAGCTTGGCAGGCTTGATCTGCTCAGCAGTTTTTTTGAATTTTGGCTGAGTCTGCGAAGCAGCGCTATTGCGCCGAGTCGTGCGTGATTTGCCGCAGCAAGAAGCACTCCGTCAAGTGGGAGATGCGCCTGACTGGCCAAGGGGCCCGCACCGTCACGGGCGGCGAGTGATACACTTGCATCCGGGCCTGCATGCTTCTGAAGTGACGGTTGCAGTTTTGAAGGCGGTTGCTGGCGCATTGGACTTGCTGGTGAAGTCTCGTCGGCTGAACTCGCCAGGTACGAGGGCGATGGGTGCACTTGCAAGGAGTGCAATAAGTAGTCGTGAGCCATGGCTGCGGTCTGAGACGAGCAGACGCTGAGTTGCGGTCGTTTGACAATGTTTGCCACCCCAGCACGGCAGGTCGCTTGGCGAGGTGCGCCACCCCCTCACGGCAAGTCATGCTCAGCATTTTTTGGGTTTTGTTCTTAGACTCTGACGTCAAACTTGGGTGTGCCGCACAGTCGGAAAGTTGCTAGTAACCCACTGACAACAGCGTTTCTTCCACTTGGGAAACTGTTCATGCATTGGTTGTCAACTAGCTGAGTCTGAACACTTGCCGAGGGGTTGCCGAAGACCCGCAGATCATTGTTCCGGCTTGGCGTGGTAGTCTTGGGATTGGAATGATTGGAAGCTCTGTTTCCACCCGATCAGGATAAGTAGGTACCCTGGGTGTTATGGTTCATTCCTGGTAGCCATTCAATCAGTGTTCAGTCCTTGAAGGAAAACACACTATCATGGTTTATCCGGTTGTCATTTGTTCAAAATAACAGTTTCGAATATGGCCATTTTTCAAGCGCGGTTCTCGTTTCCCAATCTTGCAGGATCAGTCGGTGCTTGCCACATCTAATCAATCATATCTATCCCGTTTGAATAGAAAGGCCGGATCAGAATCAACCCGGGGCTTGTATATGCGGCAACTAGGTTTCCATGATATACAGCACCTCCAAGATGAATACACTCCACCTTTGATTTGTTACCTTGAAATACTTGCATCAGCTGCTTTCATCAACTCTTCAGCGAAATACATGATCCACATGATCCAAAGTCATCGCTTCTTCTTCTGTCAGTTCTCCTTTGAAGGGCTGGCCATGGATTCGAGATCTGGGTTGTCTTTTCCCCTTTATTCTGCCTCCTGAAAATTGACATCGCAAAATTGACCTCCAAATGGTGGTTTGAAGGGATGTGACACCCACAACTAAATCTGAACATGCTTCAATATGTTTACTTTGGGGGAGCCAGATATTTTCAAAGGGTCTCAAACCAAACCATCGTTTGCTTCCGAAACACACTGATGGCTCACTGTTTGAAGGGTGTAGGGTGTACCCTTGGTGTTTTTGCAGAGTTTCAGTTTACTTCCCATCTTGAACAAGCCCCTAAGAGCCGAACTACATGCAACATGTATAGTTGATTTGGTTGTTTGGCCAAGCACGGGGCGGTTTCCAGAAAACTGGGTTTGCAACGCAAGGGGAACAGGCGTGGGCATCCGCTGTAGGGAAATTGAGCGGGACCCCGGAATTGTCACCTCCCCAAAACAGGGGTGCCCTTCAATAGTATACTTATTGCATATGACAGGGCACCCCAAACCAAGAAGAAGCTGCCACCTACCAGGTAATTGTGTTGGTGTATTCTCCACAAAAATGGTCCGGAAAAAAGCGGTCTGCCAAAACCCATGCGGTGGGGACATCCTCAACTTGGCCAACTGTTTCTTGCGGTTTTCTGAGGACCCTGTTTACAGGGCCCTGAGTTACCATGGTTGCTTGGTTGGGCACCAAGTAGTCTTTAGGTGTCTTTCCAGGGAGGTTTGTTTTAGCCGGGGTGGTTTACCAGCTTGTTTTTGGTGATTTATAGGGTGGTTTGGATGTTTTGGTTTCAGTGAAGGCCGGCTTTTCGTCACCAGGCGCCAGGAGCGCGTCAAAGCCAAGCCCAGCTGCGCCGCGAGCCCGGCTGGAGGTATGTTATGAAGCATGTTGTGTGATGTATCCCAGAGTTGCATGGGCCAGGTCTCCGTTGATAGGGGGTAGTTGGAAGGGGATTTGGGTGTTTTTGTTTTAGGGGACGCCCCAAAATTGTGGTGACCACCGAAAAAGGGGTACCAACTCCAAAAACGACACCTGTTTGGGGCACCAACGCCAATCTAAGTCAGATTTGTTGGAGCGGATTTTCCTTGTGGTAGTTTCCCTTGGGCCCGCTGCCATGAGTCCATGGAAAACATGGTGATCCAGGTGACTGATCGCTTGTTGGTTTCCCAGTTTAAGTGGTGAACGAAGCGTTTGCGTTTTGTTATGCCAATCTATTCAGAATTAGAGGAAGCAAGGGATTGGCTTTTCTGTTTACACCCTAGTATTTCGGCCGGTTATTTGTGTTGGATTTTAAGTCTTTCAGGTTGACAAGGGGAAACAGTCAAGTCAAGGGGCAAAACTTGGATGGATGTCAGTCCCCTTCTATTTCACTCGAGGGATATTATACAGATACTTGATGTTTCAAAAAACAGATTTGCTTTGCCACTCCCTGGTTCACCGCCCACACCCAACCCAATTGTTCAAGGCGATTTGACCTTTTGATGTTTGCCCGTTCCACTTTTTGACTCCAACGGGCAAATCTTGCAAGTCCAGGTCCTTTGGGCCAGTGAGCAGTATATCGATAGAAATTCATAAGATGAAACCTGCCTTGCACGCCTGAGAAAAAACAGATTGGGACGGCCGTGAATAGGGTTGGGGAACAATTTGCTTTAACCAACCCTGGCCAATGGGAAATGATCTGCCAAGCGCCTGCCAGTAGCCATTGGCGTTATCAAGCAGACAAGACTGGCCCGGGCGAGTGGGAGCTTCAGAGGATCGGATCGATACATTTCGGGTGGCTGGCCTGGCCCGGGTAGTTACTGTGAGGGGCCCTGAAAGATCTAAAGCGAAGTTGCAGAGCCAGCTTGAGGTGAAGTTTGTAGAATCAACTCGCAATCTGAATGTGGTGGTCAGTGGCTGGAGCTGGGAGCAGTGGATCAGTGCCACTAAACCCGCACGTGTTTCAGCTGAGGAATGCAACTTCAAGCAACCCCGAAGTGAAATATGTCACTTTCCATCGCTTTGAAACCTGCAGCAAGAATCAAAGGGCACTTTAAAAGCGTCCTGAGAAGGTTGTTGGTGCCCTAGTCACAACCCTCCCCGTGTTTTGGGTTTAAAAGGACGAATCCACTCCATTAAATTATATGTGTACATATATATATATATATATTATTCTTACTCCAGGAACACGTGGCACCAGGTTTCTGAAGGGAACCTTTGCCCATGGCGGCGGAAGCCGGTTCAAACGCCGGCTATGGCGCCGCGACCGCGGCCCCGGCAGCTCCGGCGGTTCCGGCGGTTCCGGCGGTTCCTGCGGTGGCGGTGTCGGCGCTGATGCTTGGCCTGGAAGCTCACCCGGTCTTTCTTTAGGGGATTTTCAAAATGGTGGTTTTCTTGGTGGTTTCCCTTCAAAGCCACATTTGGTAAGGATACCCTGAACAGAAGCACCCCAACTTGTCTCAAGCGAGTCGCGATGCCAACTTGTTGGTTTTCCTGGGGTCTACTTGTCAAGGTGCCAAAAGCTGATCACCTTTTGTCTCCGGAAGTCTTTTGACCAAGTCACCAAGTCGACTCAATTTCCTGTTTTGGCCTGTTCCAACATGAAGGTGGACACGAGGCCTTACAGCAGTCTCCCAAAAGGCTTCAATCTTTCACCTCAATTAGAAAGAAGTGATACCCGCTTTTTGGTTCAACCTGGCCCCTTTTGCTGAACTCGCAAAATTCATATCACTTTCATCCAGGGGTCCTCAGGATGTTCCTCCAGAGCACGGCGCTGGCGTGGGTGCGGCCGGACGAGTCCTCCGAGCCTCCCAGTTTGGCCACCGAGGCCGGGCGGATGTGCAGATCTCCCATGACCGAGTAATTGCCTGGTGAAACGGGGACACCCTCGCTATGTTAGGAAATGAGTATGTGTCAAATTGGGGGGGACCCCAAAAAATGATGGTTGTGCCTGATGTTTTCTTCGTTGCAACCAACCAAAAATGAATTCGATATGTTATTTGTTTCACTTCATATTGCGTTTGGTAGGGGCAACAGCTGAGATAGGACGAAGCAGAGTTGTGGAGCACGGGGCAGGGCCACAAATCGTGACGTAATCAGTTTTGGGTGGGTAGCGCAGAAAGAGTTTGTTCTTCGGATATGAGGGATACGGTGGTCTCCCTACGAGTACTTTGTGTCATGTTTTACAGGGTTCCCTTGGTATCACTGAAAATTACCTGCGCCAAGTTTCCCACAGGGGCTTATCATGCCGACATGGGTGTTTCCCAACAAAAGCTAGCACCTTGTTTTGCTTTGTTTTTTTTAGTAGGGAAGCCTGGAGCCACCAAACAACTAAGTATTCCGGTTCAAGAAGCACGCACTGACGGCTCACCGATTCCGAGATCTAGGCTTTGACATCCGCAATGTATGGAAGCTCAGCGCAAATAGGAGCTTCCGCTCGCGACAAAACACGAGAAACCAACAAACAGCCTGGCCAATTGGACGCCGACGCCAGGAGGCGGGGAAACGGGAACTGGCCAATCTGCTGGACCTCAAAGTGGTGCAGCTGAAGTTTGCCTCGGCGAGTCAGTTGAAGAAGCACTTCAAGGCTGCCTGTCTGCGGCATCGACCCTGCAAATTCCGGGAGGTGGTTTCCCCAAAGTGAAGAGTTCCATTCCAGTTGCTTAAGAATATGTGCTGTGTCTCCGTGTTGGTTTTGCAGGGAATCTATCACTACTGGGCGTGTTTTTTCCAGGGGTGAAAACAACTACCGAACCACTTACCCAGATTTGGTTTGATCGCTACTGCTTTAAAGGGACACGGTGACATTGTTATGACTGGCAAATGCTATATTTCATTGTGGCCAAAGCTTACCGCTGCAAATATATTTTGCTATCAGCCCTCAAACATTTTATGCTCCAAAAGTCCTCCAGAAACCCGGAAAGTGAGTGTTACTTGGCGCGCAGGTATGGAAACCAAGACTGTCTTCCTACTGTGGGAATTTACCACTCGAATGGTCTGCCCAAAAGGTGTATTTGTTTCACCGTTGTGAAATTCACCCCCCAAGTGGTAGGTTAAAGGGAACCAACCTCAGTTTCTGACTTTGATACCTGCTAGAAACAGGCAAAATGATGTGTGTCCCATTTGGGGCACAAATGCTTCCACTCAAAATGGTGGTTTCCTCTTAGTGAACAGGTGGGGTGGCATTGAGTAGGGGTTCCGATCGCTTCAAAGGACGCTCTCATGTTGGAAGCCATTCAAGGGGTGATCCAACTCTTGGTCTGGTGGAACAGTTGGGTGGGATGGTACCTGGAATCATGACCAATAAAAAATGGGAATCGTTGCTTTTTTTTGGGGGTAACCACATGGTGGTTTGAAGAAGGACACTCCAGGTACCATACTTTGCCCCGGCCCTTAAAAGGCCCTGTTGAGGTCCAAAACCTTCCTTGGAGGTCCCAACCCCTTCAATGAAGGATCCTTTCTGATGCTTGGGGCGGGAAATACGTCAGGGAAGCGGGGGTCGGACTCAATGCCCCCAAATACCGCCATGAGAGGGCCAACGGCCATGCGGCCTTGGCAGATGGTTTGGGTTGGGCAAAGTCTAATTTGCTTCACGTTGAATCGTTTCAACCAAAAATGGAACAGGAGGTTGTTTAATCGACAGGGTTCAAGATATACAAATAGGTGGGTTAAACAACAATAATCATGGACACTTCAAAGGGTTCCCCTTTTTCCTGGCTCGTTGTCAGCAGGGAATGAATTTGGGTGGTTTGGGAACGAAGCAGGGATGCTTCAGTCAGTTCGGAGCCATTCCAACCTATCGAACCAGCAAGTTTTTCGCGTGACGTTTCCGTGTCCCCTTTCTTCCACCTTTTTGTTTTGGGAGGGGGTGGGCTTCTTTGAAGTAGGAGTGCCTGAAGTCTCCTGATCCTTAAAACAGGGGGAGGTTACCCCCCAAAAAAGGGGTGGGAACCGTTGGAACCCATTTTGATTCGGGTCGGACTCCAGGTGCTTGTTTGTCCCACGACTTCGTGCCAGGTGCCCTGCGCTTCCTTGGCTTTCCCCCAGAGTGTCTTGGTGCTGGTGCACCCCAAGCTGCGCCAGCTGGCGCCCGGCGCTCACGTGAACCTCGGGGGGAAGGCGGGGGAGGGGTGGAACATGCAGGGACGAGACGAGTTCCCACAGGCATGAACAAGCTTCTTGGGCAAACATCACGGATGACGCAGAATTCAGGCGGTGAGTGAAGGGCATGTGTTTATGTGCAAGCCACTTAACGCGGCCCGCATCTTTGGCAAGGCACCCGAAGAAGGGCCAGTGGTTTGCGGTCGGACTTTATATGGACTTTACCCTTGTTTGGGAAGACCATTCTAGTGGCAGTTAGCTCTGTTTTTGGCCATCCCACTCAGGAAATCTACGGGAGTTGTGTCACACACGCACAAGAACATTGAAACATAGAGAAGGACAGCAACTAGCACGTGAAAGGGTTTAAACGTTGACCCAGACCACCAGTCGTGCTTTTCTTGGAGGTTTCCCTCTCAAAACCAAGAGCCAACACAAGGCGCCGTTCTTGCTCATGGAAATCTACTGGGGGTTCTGGCTTATATATAAGCCCCCCCCCCTCCCCCTAGCAGATGCCACACGCCGCTTGGGGAGGCTGCGGTGTGGTTTGGAGCCACGCGGCTCGTGGGCGGGCGCCTGGAGGTGCTATCTACGGACAGGCAGCAGCTGGGATGCGGTTTGGGTTCTCTAGGGCCTCCCGTGGACTTCTCACACATGCTGCCTCAGAGCCAGTGTTTCCCCTCAGTTCAATAGTGCCTTTTTCAGGTGCAAAGCGTCCAGAACACTCAATTGGAAGGTCTTCCCTTATGCTCACTTCTTTTCACTGGTTCGTGGTCGATTTGGGAGGACCTGGAGTCAGACTTGGCCAGTTGTTCCTCTTGGTTCGGAAGATTGGTTGCCAATGTTCATTGACTTTCCCCTCATGATGTTTGCTGAGGATCTTCTTAAGGGATGCTAAAGAGATGCATCTTGGTCATGGTGAAAACATCATTTCCAGCTGACTTGAAGGATCCCCTGTGAAGCAGGCGGTTTTTTAATGCAGCGTTTGTTCCTACCAGTTTTTTGTTGATTCAACCAGTGGTGTCACTCGACGGCCGGAAGCAAGCCCATCCAACTCTGAGGAAATCTAGCGGGTTAGGCTGGTGCTGAGACAGAACAGCCTCCACTTCCTGGAGCCATGTGGCTATGTATATATACATATATACACATATACATATGTGTACCCAGACACCAGTGGGCTGCTTGCTTTTTGAGGGGGTCCCATTGAACTCCACTACCCCAAAATGAGCGCGCTTGTTTCCGCATGGAAATCCACTGCGACCCGGTCCGGGTATACCACAGAATGAGCCCTTCTATGAGACTGACTCCCCAAAACTGGGGTCTCCTTTAAGAGTATGCCCATATTTTAGGGTAGACTAAATGAGGAACAGAGGTCAGGGAATATTCGCTTTTTCTGAGCACCCCAGATGTTTGTTTTGTTTGGCGAGAAGCTGAGGCAGGGGTTAAACAAGCCCTTCAAGCCGTTACAGCCATAGGGTTTTGCTCTTTCTCAGCCCACCCTGATATACACATATATGTGCGTACATATTACAATATATATATATATACACATCTACACACATCCCAGGATATGTTCATATAAGCTTCAACTTGTTTTTTTTTGAGGGGGGGACGCACCATATATATATATATATAACTCACAGGGCTTAACCTCCCCCCCCCTCCCCAACCCCTGCGGCTTCAACACCTTTTTGCAAACCAACCTGAACTGCAAGCTCCCATGGTACTCCGTCAACTTGGGATTTGCGCAAGCTGCATTGGGTTGGCACAGATTTCCTATCAAGGGCCCCTTCAACGAGTCATGGACTCCAACAGGCCGGCACTGGGCGCATTTTCCGCCTCTGGGATTGAATCGGCCAAAAGGGGGCGCCCTTGGCAACCAAGAAAAAAACATGGAAATAATTGCTGAGGCAAAACAACATCCGCTTCCTGGATCAGCTCAGCAACCGCGGCGTGGCCGCGCAAGCGCCGCAGCCTGTGCTCGCGCGCTGCCCTCGCTGCGACAACGACGCCGCCGCCGCCTCCGCGCCCACGGAGAAGACCTGGCGCTGCAACGCCTGCCGCGGCGATCCGGAGACGGGGATGGTCACAACTTGGGAAGGGTTAGACCCCGTTGTTTGCATTTTCCTGGCCTGACTCCCCCAGTAGTCTTTTGATGGTTGCTGAAAATGGGGAGGGGGTTAGACGCAGTTTCTGCGATGCCAAGGCAATCCTCTTCAAAAGTCAAAAAGTAGTCATGGCAATGGCCTATGTTGGTATCGCAGAAAGGCTGCTTTTCCGCAACCATTATGGTGGTCGAAAAGGGTTCCCGATACCTGGGTGCTGTAGCCGAGGAGAACCAAAAAGGCTTGACGATGACTTGCTTTCCCGGAAAGAGGGGTTTGTTTGGTACACGTTCCCTTTAAGGAAGCAAACAGGGGGTGGATTTGTTTTGCAGTTTTTCCAGACTCCCTGTCAGGCGTATCCTGTTCATCTAGGATTAGTCAACCTGTTGGACGAACAGGGGGCGGTTTCCTCCATTCAAGGATTCCCCCTCCATGAGTTCCCTATTTGGCGTGGCAAGTAACAACTGGGTAGTCTAACAAACGTTGAGGTATAGGTACTTGGACCCCACTTCTGAATGCCTCTTACATGATAGACGGGAAGGTTTTTTGAAGATCGTTTGTTGGACATGCCAACTTAAAGGTTTTGGTGCCTATGTGTCCTATGTTTCCCAAGGCGAGCCAGCTTGGTCAGCCTGGCTTTAAGCATCACCATGCGGGCCAAATCGAAGTGAGTCTGATTTTGGTGCGATGCTTTCGGGAGGGGAAGAAAGGGATTCTAGTGGTCTTGCGGGGTGTGATGTAGTCCATTGTGCATGCCTGGCTCTCCGAAACATCTTCCCGTCGTACTCTTCCTGTTGTCGTCGCTAAAGCGAGCTTAAGATGATGAAAATCCCTGAATTGCTTGTTGGTATCATATCTTTCCTGAAAAGGTGGTTCACATTACCATGTGGCATGCGCGAAACAATAGATCAGAAGGCATATGGGAAGAAGAGAGGCTGATGCAACGAAGGTTGTCACTGCCACTCAAGTGAGGACATAAACAATGATATGTTTCTAGATGCCACAATGTCCCCTGGGGTCAGTGGTTTGGACGTTCTGAGTTCGCGACTTGCAAGTTGTTGCTGACCTGCAGGAGGCCTACGGACTTTGCTTGCATCATGGTTTCCAGTACCCCCAGCCACCCCAAAAAAATATAGCCAGCCACTTACAACTAGAAATCCCTTTGCCCTCAGATCCCGACCATGCATGTCTCTTGATGGCAAGATATTTGGGCTCCGCTGGCTTCCGTTCGGTAAGCATTGACCGCAAATCCCAAGGGTTCCATGTGGGGTTGTCTTTTTTTTCTCGAGGGAGCCCTTTTTGGGGTTATTGTAAGTGACAATAAATGGAAGCACACACACACACATGTTGGGCTCCCCCCCTGTTTGGGGACAATCCAATGTTTCTAAGGAATTGCCCCCAGAAAAGGACAACCTGTATGTCGTGGTGTCATAGTCGTTATACATGCTACGACAATTGCAGACTGCTCGGGCTGGGCTGGGATGATTAACAACGCGGTTTGTGACCCTAGCCAAAGAGCACCAATTCCTTTTCTCAGGTCTCTTTTAGAGTGCCCCTCAATCACTTAATTGCTTGGGATGTTCAACCCACTTGGCAAGTAGGTTACAACTCCCGCTTACAAGAGAAACGACCTGTTGGTTGAGATGTAATCCTGAGCATAGCCTGCTAAGTGGGTTCAACAATGTTGAACATCCATGTGGATCCAGTTACCATTATAGTAGGTCACTATCCACTTTCCGTTGCAAAAGGATGGTTCCTTTGGTTACCTACAAAGCCAGGGAAATGTAATCACTGGGTTGTCCCCTACCCTTCACTATGTAATTGGTGGTCTCTGGACTTCCATTTATGGTTCTATTTCCCCTTTATGGAGAGTACTAGATAAATGGAATTCGGGGACCCCACCCACCCCCCTCCCCCTCAAGCTAGGGGATACTGGGTTGAACATAGCTGCAGGAGCACGTGAGGAACGTGCGCCGAGCCGTTGCCGCGTACCGCATTGGCTGGAAGAGAGCGGAGGCTCCACACGGTGAATTGTCCAATTGGTTGTTCTTGAATGTTCAACCATGGGTCAGCGCCCTTACAACCATGATCACAACCTACTTGCTAAGCTGGCCCTTTGACCAAAAACTGTTATCCTTGTCAAGGCCAAAAACAAATAGTCCAAAAAAACTCTTACCCCTGTCAAGGCCAAAAACAAATAGTTCAGACGTTTTAACATGAGCTTTTTCACCACAGCAAAATGACACCACCACTAGGAGGGAGGGGGTGATCTACGACATTTTGCCAAATACATCCCCAATCCTTATTCCAGATGATGATGGTTTCCCTCCCTGCACCGCCCACCAGGAAATACGGATTTCGATAAGGAATCCCGAGCAGTTCAAATTGTTTCATTGTTACTTGTCCCGGCTTCTTTTCAGGCCATTCTTGCTTGATTCAAGGCTATTTTGCTTGGAGTGTCTGTCTTTCTTGACAAAACTCCGTTCATTGTCAGCAGGGGCCTGCGAAGCATGTTCCAGTCTGTCTGCGGAGCCGTTCGAGGGAATTTGCAAGGTCCCTTGACTAGGTAGGTGTGTCCTTCCCGGGTGTTTGGCCAAGTTAGAAAGCAACTGGAGTTTGCCTTATTGCTCTTGAGTAACAGCCCAGATTGTCAACTGAGTCTCATGTTAATGAAGCAGTATATGGCTTTCGTCAGCTGAACACCCAAATAGGCTTGGCCAAAACCTGAGGCACGACGTTTGATAGGTAGACCCTTTACAGTGTCCTGCAACACCACTTGCTTGCGGAAAGCTTGGTTTTAAGGCCATGTTCTATGAAACCAAGGGAAGCCCCTTTAAAGTGACGATGGAATGTGAAGCCGTTTCCCACAACCGTGCAACAAGCTAACGAGAGCGTGGGAGTTGCAAATTCCGGCAGGAGACGCTGCAAGCGATGCTGCTCTCTGCCATTAAGCGGGGCCACTGGGCCTAAGAGGTAGGGCAAGATGCGACCGATTGACCTTGGCTGTCTCCAGCAATATGTGTCCTCAGCCTTTTAGCTTTTTGAGTTTGAATGGTTTGTTCACATGTGTGTATATATATATATATGGTACCCCCCCCCCAGGGACCTACCTTTTTGAAGAATTCACTGGTGTTTGCAGTGTGTTCTACCCTTTTTTGGGCTTTGCGGATAGCAATGAAAAAGAAGCATTTCCAAGGACGTTCTGGAAGCTTCAGGCTTGATTTAAACCGATTTAAACCGATTTAAACCGATTTAACTTAAATCGGGCATGGATTCAAGATTCAAGATTCAAGAATCCAGGCCAAACTTTTGCAGGGAGTCTTGAATCCAGTCCTCGATTTAAATAAACCGATTTAAACCAATTTGGCCTGGATTCTTGAATCTTGAATCTTGAATCCATGCCCGATTTAAGTTGAATCGGTTTAAAACGGTTTAAATCGAGGCCTGGATTCAAGATTCCCTGGAAAAGTTTGGCCTGGATTCTTGAATCTTGAATCTTGAATCCATGCTTGATTTAAACTTAAATCGGTTTAAATCGGTTTAAATCGAGACCCAAATTCAACATTGCACTTTGCGCGGCTGTACTTTGGCACAGTGTTGTGCAAGCATCCAAGTCCTGATTTTTCATTCAATCTTTTTCAATCTTGGCCCACATTCAAGAGTGTAGGCCAAAGTTTTCTAGGGAATCTTGAACCTAGGCTCAACTGAAATTTCAGTTGGTTTCAATCGGTGTCACTCGGGCCTGGACTCGCGTTTGCAAAGAAGACTTGTCTAGAGAATATTGATTCTTGAATGTTGAATACAGGCTTGGGTTCTTTCCTTATCGAATCCTGTGAAAGCTCTAATTGAACTGTAAGTACATATTGGGAAAGGAACTCTATTTAAACTCGAAATTTCAGATTTGATTACCGTTAGGATTCTGTCCAAATATTTCATTATTGAGTCCCAATTAAATCGTGTTCAAATTCAAACGAGCATTTAGCGAGTGTTCGTTGGTGCAGATGTGAATTGAGTATGAAAAACACAACACAACACTGTGTTTTACGGTGTTTTCTGACCATGGTAGTGTTAGGACTAGTTAAAAGACAAGTTTTGGACCTTTGGATTCTTTCCTTATGAATTCCACTTAATATGTTTTATCACATTCGACCCAATTTCTGTTTGAAATTCAATGGAGCTTAAGAAGGACATACTCCAGCCAGAATTTCGATTTATATTCGAAGTTAAGTACTGATTGTTCTATGTCAAATTACATGGTACAACCGATTTCCTGTCCAATGGAACTTTGTACTTGAAATTCAATCACTTTCAGAACTAGAGTTAAATTCTTAGATGGTCTAGTCCTAGTTTGGTCCTAGTCCTAGTTGGGAGATCCTTGGTTCTAGGCCTAGTATGGTCCTAGCTTACTGAAATAAATAGAACGTACAAAGGACAATGCAAAGGAAGTTCCTTATGAATTGTAGTTAATATATTACTCAATTTCTATGCAACTGCTAACTGAACAGTAGAATAAAGTAAAGAACATATCCAGGCATAATTTATGGTTATTCTGTTTCAAGCCAAATATTAAACATGACTTTCTTTCCACCAGAATGTAATGCTTGACATCCAAATACTATAAGAAGTAGATTTGAATGGTCTAGTCCTAGTTTGGTCCTAGATGAGAGATCCTTGGTTCTAGTGCTAGGTTGCTCCCTAGTTTACTGCAATAATTAGAAAGTATACAGGACATTAGAGAGGAAGTTATACTTGAAACTATTTTTTTGTAAGAATCTGAGGTGGGTCGTCTAGTCCTAGTTTGGTCCTAGTCCCAGTTGAGAGATCCTGGGTTCTAGTCTCATTTGGTCGTGGTCCTAGTTGAGAGATCGTTCCTCCCAGTCCTAGATGGGCAAATCATGCACTGGAGAGGCAACCAAAAGGTAGGTCCCTGGGGGGGGGGGGTAGCATATATATATATATATATATATATCTGTATATATATATATATATACGTATAACGCGACCTATTTAGCTTGGCTGTTCCCAGCCATACTGTTTCTTAGACTTTGAGCTGCTTAAACCTAGGAATCTCGGCACCTCGAGTCGGCCTTTGTTGAAGATCCCTTATCCCCTCTAAACGGTCCAATGATGCTTAGGGGAGCTGGACGTTTGGCATCTCTCAAAGTTGAACTTTTAGCAAGGGATCAAGGAGCCATGAATTAGGTTGTCACCAAAGGTATTTGGTGACCCTCGAAATCCCGACCCGGAAATGAACTGGTGGATTAACGTGGTTGTTTCCTCCAAAAGGATTTGTATTCCCTTCCAAATGGCACACCCAATGAATCTGATCCCGGTTCCCATGAATCAACACTTATTTGGCCCGGTGGTTTGGGTCCCTCTACTCCTGTTCTCTTGGTTTGGTGTGGGTAGGTGTGTTTGTTGAGGCGCTCTTTTTGGGCGTGGCGTGGTGTGGGAAGCCAACAGGAACTCCACTGGTAGGCTTCTCACACTCTGACTTGTTGGGAAGACCATAGTGGCACGGACTTCTGGTCTACCCACTCGATCGGATGTGAGGCGTTTGTGTTCTGCGATTCTGACCACGTGTTCCGCCAAGCTCGCCTATGTGGAAGGATCGAGACTCGTAGATTGTAAAGGTCCCTTGTGAATGAGATTTGTCAGGTTGATAAACTATCCCAGTGATTCTACTTGGATGTTCAACCAACTTAGTAAGTAGGTTGTAATAAGCATGGTTATCAGGGGTTGTAAGGGGACTAACCCCAATAAATACTTATGGTTAAAACTACTTACTAACTTGGTTGAACGTCTAAGTGGCTGTACCTTCCCCAATCTTTTCAGAGACCTTCTCTGCACGAAATGGTCCCCCGGTGAAAATGGGCCGTTTCTAAGGAGAACAGCCGGTAAAGAGAATGGGGAACCAAGCCTTGGAGTGATTCCATTTCCCTTGCTTTTGTAGGTAACCAAGGGAATCAATGCTGAAAAGGCGAAAGGAACATGGTGCAGGGTTACTCACTATAGGGGTAGCTGGGATCTACAGCGTATAACATATGGGGCGTTTAGTCATGATTGTCGGGGCGAAGCATTCTGGTGTGCTTGAGACAGTTAGTAAGTAGTCAATAGTTAATGACCCCTTTATCTACAGTAAGGCAAACTCCACTTGAGGAGACTCATGAGTCGTTGTAGCCAGTCCTACCGACAGAACCTAACTTGGCCCCAGCACCCAATTCGCGCAAGCGTGGTCACTGTACTCTAAATGGTAGGATTTGTGCAAATGCTTGGCTTTGGGGCTGTCCTTCTTGAGAGTACAGTGGATGAGACAACCCCTGGTAGGAGCTGTTACACCCTTTGCACCTTGGCGTTTCCATGGTGGAAGGTTCTTCCAAACACCCCTCGTAGAGTACAGGTAGAAGGCGTTCTTCTTGCTTCAACAATCCACATCGAAGCCAGGGTTTTTAGAAACTGCCGTCACTTCAAGACGCCCTCGAAGAAGCATCAAGGTACCTGAAGAGTGCAAGCCACCCCAGAGCCGATAAGGGATTTCACTACGTACCGATGGCGGGCCACGAAATGTGTATATATATATATAGATATGTACACATTCCCTGGCCACAAGTAGTAATCGATACAAGGTGTACATCAGTGGGTATATCTTGGGGCTCGCATCGGAGCCAGGTGCTCGTTGCAATTTCGGACCAAACAAAGCCCATTTCCCTGCCAACCGGTCTTGTGGGTCCCAGTCGGGTCCATTGGGGTCACATTTAGAAGCGTTCTGATCCTAACGTCAATCAATGGGCTCAAAGGGCCCTAGACATGGGTTCAAAAGGTGTCAAACTCAGAACAAACATCAAGCAAAGCACATCGAAATCTCGGGCGCCCGACACAGGCCACGCAGAGGCAGCGTGGATCAGCAGCAAGGCGCTGGCGCCCTTGACCCAGCCGCGCTTCCTGGAGGCGAGAAGCTGACGGATGCGCTGTCCATTCGGCCCATTCGGCCTCCATTGGTTTAGCAATTAGTAGCAAAATGTGTGTTTTTCCCCGGTCAGTTTCACTGGACATATGTTTTTCCCGGCGACGCGTTCGCAAGTTGCGGTTGGGTTTCCCTGGGTTTCTGGACTTTAGCCACTTTTTCGGAAGGCATGTGACAAACAGAAAGTTCAGACTTTTTGTGGCCTATCCACTCAGAGACTCAGGAAGTGAGTCGGGGTGAAACTGGATGGCACAATTCCCTTATTTCGGTTTGCTCGTGCCCCCTTCAACAGGGTGGAACATGGCGGCACCAGGGTCTAAACAGGGCCCATGTCCTTGACAGCTTTCCAGTTTCAATTGAATTTGTCTTCAACACATTGTGGGTTATATTGTAACAATCCCCCTGTTGAGGAACTTAAATGGAAACCACGGGGACGTCCGATGTACTGGATGAAACAAGTCTAGTGGATGGTGCTATCCTAAAGACTTGATTGTTTGGAGTCTGGGGTTGTTTCCAGGCGACCCGAAAGGACACAGCTCATGTTGGGGCGACGCCGCTCATCAAGTTTCTGGGTTGGGGTGTCTTTTGTTTGAAGTTTTGACGAATGGTGGATGGGTTTTGGATGGTGCTTGTCATGGTGGATGATTTGATGCTCGTTGTTGTTGATGGTGTTTTGCATGTTTGTTGGATGTGTTTGCTGGCTTTGTGATCGTTTGTTGAGGGTTTGGTCTGTAGTTTGGATGCTTTTGTTGGTTGGTTTTGAAATATTGCGTCGTGGCACAACTTGCTGTTCTTGTGTGGTCTTTTGATGGTTGGACGGTTTTTGGACGTTTGTCGGTTTGGGGATGGGTTCCAAGACGTCACCCCGGGCTTCGGACGTCCCTCGGGGTCCCGCCCAGGCAGCGCTGCGGGGGAGGAGGCCAGGTCTGGTGGCCACTGTCCTCGGCTTCAGCGCGGAGGAGGCGCGTCTCGCTTCCCGAGTTCCTGGACTGTTTTTTTTGGGGGGAGCACCATTTCAATGGCAACATGTGTTGGACTTGTTTGGCCAAGCCACTCAGGCAGTGAGGTGTTCAAGAATCCTTTATTAATGTGATTAGCCATGATTCATTTCATCAACAGGGAGTCGCGGTAGTGACTGACCTGTGATGTTTGGCTCAAGTTTGCGGGTCCGTCGCGCCTCGGATGAGCGTCGCCGGGTCCCCGCGTCGATCACCTTCGTGTCGGTGGAGAAAGAGACATCGGCCCGGGGCAGATTGGTGGGGTCCGCCCGTGCGGTTCATCGTCGATCAAGGTTGCGGGTACTTGTTTACTTGTTTTGGTTTTTCCCTTTTGGTTGTTGTTCTCTGGTGTGTGGGAAACCCTGATCTTTGGGACCGGGGATTGGTTTGCTTTTGGGGAACCTTTCTTTTGTGGCTTGTTTACCCCAACTTACCCATTGCCTGGGCACAGGCTCGTGCCCGAATCACAGGTTATCAGCCGTAGGACTTTCCTACGCGCTTGAGACCATCAACTACAAGCTCTATGTCGACCCCACGATCTCACAGGAGTGTCGTGGATGAGGAGGCCATCCTAGGGGGCCTCCGCTCAGGTGAGGACCTACCGGACTATGACTACGAGGATTTCGAAGCAGGTTCGACAGGTCAGGATCGCAGGGGTGAAGATCCCGGTAGGGACACACCCAGGAGCCGTGGCAGGTACACCGACGATGGAGACGATCGCATTTTCCGTCAGGCCACCGATGATGAGCAGACACGAAGGGTTCGCTCCGATAGGAGCGGCTCTGAATCAGGTCACAGGCGCGGACAGTTCGACTTCATCAGCATGGCGATGAACATGGCCCGCCCTCATTCGGACGACCCGGAGGCTATGCCGACCCGACCCCCGAGATCTCTTGTTCCAGGTGAGTCTCAGGTATCGGATGAGTTTGAGGACAGGCCGCAAGGACCAGGGACTATGGTTTTGGCTCCGAGAGATATCTCGGGTCGATCTACTGGTTCTCAAAATCCAGGTCAGTTTGATGAGCATGAGGAGAGGAAATTCACAGGCTTCGGATACGATGATCTGTTGAAATCAACCGCAGGCTGGGGCAGTAGCGCAAAGCAGGAGTCTGATGCCGATAGGCTCAACCCTGTTGCTGCCGAGTTTGAGTTTGATAATGATGAAGATTATGCCGCATTTGCGGATCGTCGTGATGAAGAAGAGGATCAGTCACGCCGGAATGCTAGAATCCGTGCTGCCGCGAGGCCCAGGAGCCTCTCTCGTGGAGCTGCCAGGGACCTTCATGTTGACAGGGACGCCCGGAGCGAGAGAGAGAGAGCCAGGGATAGCCGGGAAGTTCTTAGGGGATTGGAGGCCATCCATGACCGGGAGGGACCGATAGGTCCCCCAGTGATTGGTGACACCCCGAACGTTCCCCCTTTTCCCAACATTACATTTGGAGGTCCGCTGCATCAGAGAGACGAGGACTCGAACCGGGTTACTGGTTCGCCAAGGATCACTGAACGGGCTGCCGCAGTCGTTGGGACAGGTGCAAGAGATGGTCGGCTTGCCGATGCACTCGGAATCGAAGATCGTCCGTCGATCGCTAGCCCGTTAGGGCGAGATACCAGTGACCTTGAAACGCTGAGGTCTAGCAACGAGTTCACACCTCAGTGGGGCTCGACCGCCAGGGAACGGAGTGCTTCTGCGAAGAGGCCGTCACCCCTCGCCATTGAGACCGATAGGTCAAAGGCGAGGAGGGCTAGCCCCTCACCAATGGGCTCAACCCCGCAGGATGAGGAGATGCCTGATCCTGCTGATGTTCACATTCATTCTACTCCCGAGTCTCGTGCATCCAACATTGATCCCCGATCTGGCGATAGCCGGAGAAGGGGATCTACCCCGAGTAGGCCGTCCAGGATAGGTGAAGGTCCTGTAGGCAACCCCGGCAGACTTGCTAGAGCTAGTGGGGCTCCTGAGAGGATCGAGATATCGACTCCTCCTGCCCTTAGATCCCAGTCTTCCGGTGAGTCAGGTGACGCTAGGGCAAAGGAGGTGTTCGATTTGCACACCCAGGAGATGCTCGAGAGGGGTGAGGTTTCTGGCTCAGTCGCGAAGGCGTTCCATATTTTTGCTGACCAAATCAGATTACTGAACGGTCAGGTGAGTTCCATGCGGAGGGAATGGGGCGACGAGAATCGACAGACGAAGGACAAGGTCGATCGCCTGACAGCTGAGATTGCGACTCAATCTGATGCCGGTAGGATGCGAATGATAGTTCAACGGTTTGCCAAGGAAGTCAGTCCCGACAGCAAAGCTATTGTGAGGCAAGCCATCGATGAACAGGCTGAAGTCGTGGAACAGAGGATCAATCTGCTTTCACACGAGGTTCATGAATCTGTTAAGGACAATGAGGCCGCAACTGATCGGCTTCGTCAGATGATTCAAGAGAATCGTGAGGCCGTCCACAGGAGCCATGCTGCTTCCGAGGATGAGATCCTTAAGGACTTGGACAAGCTTGAGGGACGGATGTTCTCGGTAGAGAAAACCGTTGGGATGCGGACGCCAGCAGGTGAATGGAATTTGAATCCTGCCGCGCAACCGCCCGATAGGGCTAGCAGCAGCGGGGTGAACGCGAATTTCAGAGAGTTAAACCTGAAGCTCGAGAAGGCTCTCCTTGAACACGAGAAGTTTGCTAAGTGGGCCTCCGAATCTATTGGTGGCATTAATGAAGAACAAACCATCCTTGCTAATCGAATGTCGAGGCTGCAAAGTGGGAGGGGGTCACAGGCGATCGATAGATCATCAGGACCTGTATCCCCGCAGGACTGGCATGAAGCAATTGACGAAGTCAATCGAAAGGTCCAGGATCTATCTCGCGGAGTTCAACGCCACCATGGGGATCATGACGATGTCCTTGCGAGGTTTGAAACCTTGAAGTCCCGTGTTGAGCAGTACGAAGCGAGTTCGGGGATTCTGAATCAAGTTCTTGATGACATCAGAAGGCAGATCCGCAATCTCCCTGCGAATAGTGATCAAGCACGGTCTGCCGTTAGGCGTGAAATCGACTCATTCCGGAGTACGCTTGAAGGCGCTATGCGGAGAATCAGCACTGTCGAGAGTAACGTGCGTACTCTTAATGGAATGAACAACAGAATCATGGCTCAGCTCTATGAAATCGAAGGTCATGTCGATGAGGCTGCTGGCATTATTCAGGGTGTCCAGGAAAATCAGGTAAATCCTCCACAGCCCAGAGAGAGACGGAACGTTGGATACGACGCTTTTGCGGGGCAGGGACACAGAATCAGGTCTCCGACGCCCACTCCCGGAGAAGGTAACGGTCGGGGTACTGGCCTTCCGGTGAGACCGGGCGGAGGTGTTGATTTGGTTGATCACGCTTTGCCAGATGTGCCCGGTAGGGTCGATCCTTCCCGAGCAGGCAGGCATCCCATTAATCCCGATAGGGAGAGGGCTGACAGCAGAAGCAGGAGGGCTCGGGGACTGCCTGACAGGTCGCATTCACCGCCAGGGCGTGCGAGGGATGGCCCCCGCGCACGCGCAAGGGGGGACATTTCTGTTTCTCCCAACAGGGATGTGGGTAGGAATAGGAGCCCGAGGCCTGCTGCCGTCCCCGATAGGGGATCTGAGGTCCGGAGTCGGCAATCGAGGGGGGAAAGGCCAGTCCGCGATAGCGGGAGCATCTCTCCGAACCTGGATAGGCCGATCCGCGATAGCGGGAGCGTCTCCGAACCCTGACCGTCATCCAGGAGGTGGTAGGGGTAATAGGGCCCATGCCGACATCCAGAGTCCCGGCGATAGCTGGAGGACTCCTGGGAGTAGAGCTCGTGCCGACATCCAGAGTCCCGGCGATAGCTGGAGGACCCCTGGAACTCCATCTGATCGTGGACAGGCCTCGGCACCGGCTGCAAGACGAGCTCCCGGTACCGGTGGCCCAGGTGCGCCAAAGATCTGTGCCCTCGATGAACCCAATGACCGTAGGCACCCGGACGCTGAATTCTCGTGTGTCACGTGCAAGCGTGATTTTTGCAGGCTTTGCCGGGGCGACGATGGGGACTGTTGCAATTGTCACTTCTTGAAGATGAAATGCTGGGCGTGTCACAAAAGTGCCCAGGAGGTCCCCATGTATTCCTGCACGGAGTGTGCGAACCACATCTGCGAGGATCACAGTCATTTTGGCAATGATGGCCTCGAGCGATGTGCGCGCTGTACTATTCGGCATGAACGCAATGCAGCTGGACCGCCCCCTCCCCCTCCTCCTCCTGGGGGAGGAGGTGGGCAAGGCGGACCATCCGGCCAAGGTGGGAGTGGAAGTGGTGGTCATGGGCATGCTCCATTTCCACCACCAGGTCCTGGACATCCCGGCGGAGGCCAAGGTCTCACTGGACCTCCTGGAGGCCCGAGTGGAGGGGCTCCTACCGGGGGTTACCCTGGTGGAGCACCCGGGTTCTATGGTAGTGCTGCTGATACTCATGGAGCTGGGAACAATCAGTGTGGTTCCAGTTTCTATGGTCCTGCCTACGGAGGTGGCGTTAGCCACCAAGGGGTTGGCGCTGGCGTTAGTCAGCCCAACGATGCTGTAGGTTACCCCTCGAGTATTGCGAGCGGTGGTAACCTTGGGCCAGGTCTTAGCCTTGGCTACAGCGTAAATGGGGCCGGTAGACAGGGAGATGGTGGTCTTCTCCCTGTTGAGGGGGGATGATGGACGGGACAGGTGCACTAAGTGTAGCAGGATCCCCGAGCCTGGTTTCCCTCTTGTTCCTTGCGTTGGTTGTGGAATGAGGGCGTGTGAGGTTTGCTGCCCTATGCCTGCTAGGCTGTGTGAAAGTTGCAGGATTACCTCATGTACCCCGATAGGGGCTCTGATTTCCACCGTTGTCGATAAGGATCGGTTCCATCATAAGTGCAACACGATCGTGCTGCCTGCTGAGCCGACAGCTGATAAGCTGCGGGAATGGCTTTCCGA